CGAGCATGTATCTGCACACTAAACAATATTAATAGTTCCCCACTGTTTGCATATTTACTTAGTCCTGCTAGGGAACACTTCTTGGGCTGTGGGGAGGGGAGGCAAGTGCCAAACAGCTTGGGCTTTTGATATTTCTCCTCAATGCATGCAACATGACCCCAACTACAGGCTTTATGTAGGAGGACATAGAAAAAATGAGGGGCAAAACTTGCATTCCTCTTCTCTTCCTGTAGAAATGGCGATTTTCTCCTACTTCCATCTTCTTCACGATAGGAAGGCAGAAGACATCAACACTGAGGCTTTGTTGCAGAATTCAAAGACTTTGTGCCAGTAAAAGAAGGTGGACTCTTCTATGTCTTCTTTCCCCTCAAGTTACTTAACAAATATCCTCCCCTCACTCCTTGGGAGACAGACAACTCACATTGAGTTGATATACCTCTAAAAGGCAGTAAAAATGTGTGTTCTACTTTAAGCTGATTTACTTCAAAATTTCCACTCAGCCTGTACTGGTGTGCTTATTAGCAGCACTTGACTGACAACTTCATAGGGCCAAGAAAATATATTTTAAACTATCTCCTTGGGGGGCATGAATTAAAATTGAATTAAAAGAAAGAAAAATATTATGGCACCTCCCATTTCCAAAAAAACATTAATTTAAACAGTTAAACTATGCAACACCATTGACAGAAAACCCTCATGTCTTGTAGACACAGTCCTGCTAAAATAAAATAAATTTAATAACTCAATCAGTAAAGTGAAGTGTTTCCATCCAACACTACCAAGTACCCTCCCAACACATCATCTCTCCCTTCACACACTTCCCCAGTCAGTGACCTAGAGGAGAGATAAGAAACCTTGACTTCTCACCTGGCTGTAGGAGAAAGAAAAAGTTGTTTGATTTTCATATGGGGGACAAAAGTCATTTGTGTACCAATCACAGAAACAGCAAGCTACTGAAGTAGGCGTTGTCTTCTGTTGTCTTGATAACACGTGTTCTTTCATGACAATTTTATTCAGGAAACAGTAATGATTGACTATCACAGATTTATAGTATGTGTTTTTGTACTGTTGGCAACAAACAGAACAACAAGGAGAGGACACCTAGTGGTGGTATGTGATACTCACGGTCGGTACCATGGAAGCAACAGATGAAATCTTTAATGCAGGGCCTGATTTGCAAACCTATTAAACACTTAATTTTTAGGCACTGTAGTAAGACTTAGCATTCCAAAAAGCTTGGATCTATGAGCTTTTCTGAAATAGCATTACTGTGATTATTACAACTAAAACATAAAAAAGTATAATAGAATATGTTGGTGTGATACACTCAGAAATATGTTTCATTAAACACTAGAGCTTTATCAACAGCTAGAGCCCTATTGACACCTATGTAGGTTCGTGATACTCAAGAAGATTTGGCAAATTGAAAACCAGATTCCAGTACGAGTTGAACCAATATAAGACATGGCTGCATTTTACAATTATGCATATTTTACTGTATGATTTTTTGGAAAACATAAGCTTTATTGCACATCTTGCAATAAGCATTTGGTCACTTTAAAAATGGTTCTAATTCTACAGAACCAGATATCTCAGAAAAAGAAAGACTCAGGGTACATTTTTAGAAGAACCACTTCTATTTACTCATACATTTGCTAGGTTTTGTTCTGTGATTAGAATAGCTGTAAGCACAGCTATTGAAGTCTGGGTTTTCAGCAGCTTTTGGAAAATACTGTTATTTTTAAAAAATCAGTAAATTAATATCATAGACAAATGTAAAGCAAAGTGGCATATCATTTCACATGTAATGATGCATTTATTTCTAATTGTTCATATCTTTTATTTTTAATTGTTCAGTGACCTATAAGAATATTTAACTAAGAATAACTTACTAGTTGCATGCAAACTTGTGTAAAACATTCAAGGGTCAACAGTTTAGGCAGTCTCATAACACCTGAAGTAAGTAAGAATATAGTCAGTACTTCCTGATTGGTATTTTTAGGAACCTATGCTAAAAGAAAATCCAAAACGAACCCCCGGCCAGAAATAACTGCAAAAGTATAATTTCTGCAATCACCAATTTAAATATCAATTTTTTTCTTGCACGTTATAGTATATAACTTAGTTTAAGTAAGCATATGATCTATTTGCCAACATTTGAGTTTAAAGGACTGGAATATTTGATATTGCAATGATAAAACAGTTTTAGGAAAGTGTGAATTTGCCAATTCAGGAGATTATTTCTTGAAAACATATCTCCTGTCCTTTTCTTAATGTGTTTCTCCCATTTCCACCGAGTTATTTATTTGCATAAGCTATTAACATCAGACTGATATGAATACATCAATCAGATTTCATATATATTGCACCACAGGCTACAGCTGCTCCGCCATAACACTTAAGGAGGAGAATGCTTCTGCAATGCATACATTATTTACCTCAATATTACTCTATGTGGCTGTTAGCAGCTTGATCCTGATTTAATTGATCTAAATGATGTGGAAATGAATAAAGAAAAGGAACCAGGTTTCACCAGTAACATATAAAAACCTTCTACATTTTTGCCTACTCATCTGAAGGTTCAGGATATTGACCAGCTGAAGTCCAGGTACAACACACCTAAAAAGGAAAAGCTCAAACAATGTCAACCTGCCTTTTCTCTTTGAGGATGTAGAAATACCTCAATGGGTTATAACTGCCTTATTTGCATCTTGGTTTGTTCATCAATCAGTTGTCCATGAAGTATCCTCTTGGCACATTATAAAGAATGAGTTTTCTGGCTGTCTTCTGAATATTTTTGACATAATGCTCCTTATTCTGGATCCAAATACATATATTTCAGAATTATCTGCATCCACATTTAAAACCAACATGTCAGCTCACATGCGAAAACTATTAAATCCTTTTGACCACACACAAACAGGCTCCAGTTCTCTGTCAAAAAAAATAGTTAACAGTTCCTCCCTGCTGTCCATGTGCAAACACACACAAGAACAATAATATCAGCTGCAAAGTCTCACTGACTACCCCTACGGGATCATCCAGCTTTTGTTTCCCAGTTCAGTAAAGGTCATACCTACCGAGGTTTTTTAATTGTTTGTTTTAAAACATTATGATGCTCTAACATACATTTTCTCCAAAGCCACATAGGAAAATCCATGACCTCTTTCATTTCTGGTCTCTGTAAAATGCTAAAAAAAAATAGAACCAAACCAAACAAAATCCCCTTTATTCTGGCACACGTTACATTATGGGATTTATCAGAGCCTGATTCAGACTACATATTTCTCTCTGTTTCTGCATGTGAGAATCTTTTACAAAAGCAGACAATGAGTTTTTTGCTGCTTTAGTGCAGGCTCAAAAAAACTCAAACTAAAAAATCCTCCATCTTTTGACCCTCTTTCATCTTCTTGAGAACAGAGTCACATGTTTTACTAGTGAACCAAAGGTGAAGTTGCAATCAAACAACAATTAGCTAAAGATTAAATGGACCAAACACCAACCATTGCTGGTTTGGACCACATACCCTGGTCACTTCTAGTCCCACTTAGTGACCAATTTAACTACTCTTATTTAGAACATCCGATTTCCCTTTGACAATAGACAGAAGAAGGAAATAAAAGGGAATTTATTTCTTTGCCTAGTAGGCCATTATAGTGGCAAGCTAATAACTCCAGCTGCTAGAAAAAATGTCATTGAACACATCCAGAAGGTTGTCTCTGTAAAGCACAGAGAAGACAAAAGCACAGCTTTATGGTAGAACTGCAAAATATGCTTAATCATTTGCCTTAGTTTAGTGAGTACAAAAATACAGTGCTCTATTTCTGTGCAAAAACATGGTTACACTGCTTTAAAGGGAGGCAAAAAGAAGTAGAATTAACCAAATACAGTAATAAAAACCAATTACTATTTTAGGGGCTTTTTGAGAAATAACTATAAATTTATTAGACGTTTGATACTTGGCATCATCCAGCATCATGCCATTTTAAAATGTAATCTGGCATTATTTGTGAGCTGGATTTGCCATTAGGTTTTTCTTAAACCAGAAAGTGCATGCAATACTGGAGATAATCAGCAGAAAAAGCACCAGAAACAGTACCAAATCTTCCTTCCATATCCATTTAATTAAATAAATCTATATCAAAGTAGGTAAATGCATTTATGCAAATCTATTTTGATAGTGCCTCCATGATAATGCTCTACAAAATAATTCTCATTTTGCTTACTTCAAGAAAGGTTTAGAAAATAGCAGTTATTTTTCCCATGGTTTTAGCACTTCTCTTTAAAATATGTTATGATATTTAGAACTACAGAAATGGGGACAAGCAAGAGAGAAAATAACTGAATCATGGTGGTAAGTGCCAAAGCATTAAACACTTCCTAGCCATGAGAATGTCAAATTAGGGAATGCCATAATTTCCTGGAAAAGTTACCATGCCAAATTGGCAGGCAGCAAAACATCATGCCTGGAAACAGTGGAGTTGACACTTTAGACGGCAATGGATCAAAATTTGAACTATCCATTTTTCATAAAGAAGGTCAGTACTTGAACTATTCAGCCTACATACAGCCTTGAAACAATGAGCATTTCAGGACATCTACTCAGTGGTAAATGGTTTCAATTTCTCCTAAATTAGAAAACTACAAATATGTGTTTTAAGTTCTCTGTGAGTAAAGAGTATTAATAAATTTAAGTACTAGTTATCAAACTTCAATATAGATTTAGGTGGTTGTTAAAATTTCTAACTAGGAGTCCATCCATGTTAATTGTGCTGATGGTCCGAAATGTATTTAATGGTCCTATTAGCAGAGAGGAGATAGTTACTCTGTCCTGTTTTTTCCAAAAAGGCCTTTCTACTAGCACCTGTATATAATTATACCAACTGGTGAGTAAAAACTCTATTACATTCTGGTTCTTGTGTAGCTCTTCAGAGAGATCTGTCTAGTGTTGCATAGGAATAAGATCTTAGTGAATGATGTTGTAACCATATAAATCTTACCTCTTCCCACTGGTGTATGTATCTAATCAGTCTTGAAAGGCGCAATAAACGTAACAGGCTGAGGATTTTTGTAAATCTCACAATACGAAGTGCTCTTGCTGTCTTGTAAACCTCTGAATCCATTCCTTTTTCTACAATGAGAAAGATATAATCCACTGGTATTGATGAGATGAAGTCAACCACAAACCAGCTTTTTAAGTAATTCATCTTAATGATTTTAGGGTCCAGTATTATTTCGGAGCTGTCTTCATTTACAGTCCCAGTTCTAAAATTCATGATCAAGTCCAATAGAAAAACAGTGTCTGATGCCACATTGAAAATAATCCATGGTGTTGTTGTTTGTTCTGTGAAGAATGTGATTCCAACTGGTATAATGACAAGGTTTCCAACCATCATTATGAGCATGATTAAGTCCCAGTAAAACCTAAAAAAAGGGAAGAAACAGAATGGTTGACATAATGTGGTAAAACACACTTATAATAATGGTCTCTATCATGCCACTAACTTCATCTCCAGATTTTATTAATGCTAAAAATATTCTCATTGTTTTAACTTGTTCAATATACTAATAGTCAGTAAAGACAAAATAATTTATACATTTTGCTTAATGCCCTCCTTCGCAAGAATATGCATCTAGAATAAAGACAGTAAAGACAGTACTATGGCTTATCACCCCATGGTATATCACACTGTGAAAGGTGTGTATGTGTGGTGCACAGCAGACTTATCCAGACTCCTGACAAAACCTATTCATGGTTTTATGTAGATAAAACTGATGTCTTGTGCCAATCAGAAGTGCTTTTACAATGCAATATTTTTTAAGACTTCTGTTCAAATGGAATGAATCACAAATATCTAATAGATAATATATTAAAAGTAAGTATCTCTTTGCAAATATACTCATACCATTACAGTGCTGGAATAAAATTACAGGAAGAGAAAAAAAAGCACTGAAGCAAAAAATAGAAACAATAATTAGATAACATCAAAACCTTCATCCACTTCTACAACCTTAATTGAACTTTCGTGCATTTTTACAACCACATAGTCTATCTTCCTTCAGAGCTAGCTAAGAAGTTTGAGCAGTAATAGCTGGAATTTGCATAGTATAAAATGGGTACTGCATTTCACCATTTTGCTCCAGAAATATCTAAACGCTCCCCTCTAACACTATTAGAATGCTACAAACCACTGTTGATACAGATGGTAGAGAACCAGACTTATAACTTTAGTATCTATTACAGAAATGGTGAGTAAAGCCGCCTGTTACACAGAACATACATCTATCATGATGGAAGATTTCCAAGGGACTGTAGTATATACAAAACAAATTTTAGGAAAATTATTATAAATCCTAAATATTAAATCATCGAAGAAAGTGATTCTTATTCAATGAAAGAACTAAAACTGAGATTGACAAAGCCTGAACCCAATGCATAACCTCCAGTTCTGCCAAAGAACATGATCTGGTGAACTAACATGATTTGGAGAGGAACAGAAACCACTCAACAAGAGTTGGCATGGACTCATTATACTTTCTAGAAGACGAGAGGCACCAACGGCTCCAGAACTATCTCTGTTCTCTGTCCCACCATTGCAATGGGGCCTCATGCCGTGAACATGTGATGGACATGCGATGGACATGTGATGGACATGCCACCCACACAACACTTTAGCACTAACTTCCAGGCCACTTCCAGCATACTGACATGCAACAAACACCATCATCGTGGCAATAAACAATAATAGTTTCATTAGCCACAGAGCATGTCACAACCATAAGCTTAATTTTTGCTAGACTTGCACAGAGCATATGGATTACAGTAGATTTCAGAGATTGCTTCCTGTATTCACCAAATTATCATAGAATCTCAGAATGGTTCGAGCTGGAAGGGACCTGAAACTTCATCTAGTTCCAAACCCCCTGCCATGGGCAGGGACACATTCTACTAGACCAGGTTGCTCAGAGCCCCATCCAACCTGGCCTTGAACACTTCCAGGGATGGGACATCCACACCTTCTCTGGGCAACCTGTGCCAGTGCCTCACCACCATCACAGCAAAAAATTTCTTCCTAATATCTAATCTAAACCTACTCTTATTCAGTTTGAAGCCGTTCCCCCTTGTCCTATCACTACATGCCCTTGTAAAAAGTCCCTCTCCATCTTTCTTGTAGGCTCCCTTTGGGTACTGCAAAGTCGCAATTAGGTCACCCTGAAGCTTTATCTCCAGGCTGAACCATCCCAATTACCCGGTTTTATAAACTCCCTTTGTTTCATGTTTATCTGTGGAAATACTTCTGAGTTTACAAATTGCTGATCTGTGAACATAAATAATTAATTGTAACTGTAAAATATGCTAAAGGAAGAGTAGCACGGGATTGAGAGGCAGCACGAGAATTCTCTGGTTTAAAATTATTTATTCCAAGAGAAACCTAGAGAGATTAGGCTTAACTATAATTTGAGAGAAGAGAGTAGTTGGCAAAGTACCTTTAACTGGTACTCAGAAATTGCATGAAACAGACTTTAAAAATAATTCCCTGTGTACCGCAGTGTGATTTGTGTCTTACATATTTTCAGTCTTGCAATAAATGTGAATACTAAGTGCAATAAATACTCAGTTTTATTCCGCTGTTTATGTTTATCATATGATGGAATTCACCATATCTGGCAATAATGTCCCAATTTCTCTTAGCTTTTTTAATTCACATGATAGGCTTCTCACTGTGCTAGATTCCTTTTTGATAATCTGGAACTACCATACAAAAGGCACCACTAAATTCAGATTATCACTGCTACTATGATCTACAGGTAGAATCATCACAAACATTATTACAATGCTATTAACCAAGGTATTCCATAAAAGTGTTTTAGAACAGTAAACATCTTCGAGGATTACTGAAAACGAGTGGAAAAGAATCAGGAAATAATGACAAGAGGTGTCCTTGCATCTGTGGCTCATTCCTAAGCAAAGCATTGCTGATTTCAGATTGACCTTTACGTTTCACCAGCACAGGGAGCAGTTATGCAACAATCGCTAACCAAAGCCGCACAACAACCAGCCACCCAGCCAGCACAAGAGATAATACAGAACCAGGTGTTTTTAACCTAACCTAATCCGCGGTTTAAAGGATCATCACGTACTGTGATTATGCAAAACACACTGGAGTTCCTGATGCTGAATGTCAGCAAAAGTAGTAGCGTTAGGGCTAAAATAATATTGAATGCTAAGGACTATGAGATTGCACCAGTTTTGTTTTTTATTTTAGTCCACAATATAGTATAAGCTGATTAGTTAGTAAGAAAAACTCTTACTATTTTTCATTTAGAAATGAATCAGACATTTTCCCTTAGGAAAATTTTTCCAAATGCCATTCTGTTGGCCATGTTATATTTTTCTTTCAGGTGAGAAAAATTAAATGCCATTCCCTGTATTGCCCTTCTTTGACCTGGGCAGAGAGAGTAATACAATGCGTTCTTTGCATGCAGTTCAGAACATCCTACTATTCACGTAACAAAGAGCAAGCTGTAAAGCTTCACAAAACAGTGCAAGGAGCTGCTATTGAGATGCAGAGATAGCCCTTTCTTTCAAACTACTTTTAGCATTATTTATTTATTTTAGCTACTTCTCCCACCCCAGTAAGGATGGTTATAAATCTACAGTTTACAATCTCAAGAGTTCCAGATTTACATAAGGCAATATAAAATGCTGATGAAGAGCAAGGAAGAGATTGGCTTACAACATGAAATTTTCGAGAATGAGGAAAGAAATCCAGAATGAGTCTGGGGCTAATGAGATCTTTCAAAGCTCAAAATGAGAAGCAAGAGCTGACCTTAGCCCCATAGCAAACAGCTACAGAGCTTACTGCTCAGCTGAAGCTAACTCAGTAGAGCTACTACTAGATGCCATTAACAGAAGGTGTAGAGGTCAGCACCACACTGCACTGAACTATTCCTGAAACTTTTTAAATGCTTCTAAATGACTCCGAAGTATAATACCTGCAGGTGAAAAAAAGTCTTCAAGCATTAAGGAAGTAGAAAACCCAATTTTAAGGCACACATTTTCAAAGCCTCAAAAAAAAATCTAAAAATAAATCACACTAATTATGACATTGGAATTCCTAAATAAAACTAGCTGGATTCAGAGCCCTCTTTCAGTGATGTTTTCACTCATAATTTATTTACTATATTTTCAAAACATACAGTAATAAGTGTTTTTTTCAGCTCTGGAACATGGTGCTGAAGCGTTGGTGTTTCATTCACTGCCACAGGCTGTCCTGGATAGGATGAACAGTCTGTTCAAAATGAGTGCCTACCCAAGCAGCAATAAAGAACTACTTAGTATTAATTAATCACTGTTTGTATTAAACTTAATAATGTCAAGCACTATGAAATCTAACTGGCATTTTATTTTCAACATTATATGCCCAACCCAAAGAAAACTGAGTCTTAAAGAAGGAAACTTCATCTCTAAATTAATTTGCTGCATAATTCGCTGTACATACAAATTCAGATTTGCTTGTTTTATCATTTCCTGTTGCTGCCCACTGACTCAATGTCCTTGAATCAGAGCAGTCTGAGATGTGATTATCCTTACAGTACACCCAGACTGAACCAGCAGAAGTTGTCGGTGGTCCCACAAACCACACAGCAGAGTGAACAGCATCGCTAAAGTATCAAGTGCTGTGACTTGAAACTACAGAGTTCCTTAAGTTTAAGTTTTCTGAGTTTCGAGAAAGATCATAGAGGTCTGATTATTTATTAGAAAGGAGCAAATTGCATCAGTAAAACTTTATGAAATTCAGTCATAAATAGTCATCAGCCACCTTACAAACTGGGAGGTCTCTGAAAAAGATATTAATTCAAATTGTTTGTAAAATAACCGAAATCAAACCTGATGCATCAGGGATCAGGTTTTCTGATCTCAGATGTATCATGATTTCAGTCTACACATTCAGAGAAACAAGAAATGTAAAATATTTCCACAAGCTTTCAATAGAAAACGTGCTTCCTCTTCAGCTAAATATTTTGATTGACTAGCAGACGTTCAGCGCAGTGAAAACTGACATTTTTTTTTTGTCTCACCTTCAAACACAGCTTTATTTCTTTTGCTTTCATGGATCATCGTTTCACCTAACAGAAAAATCAATGTCCTATATAGAACAAAACAACCTTGGAAATAACAGTAATTTAAAACTTTATTATACTGTACCATATCAAACACTAAACTTGGTATTATTTGTGTCAAAATCTGATTCTCATAGGACATGCCATCTTTCTCTGGTTGTGCAACTCTATTATTCTTCTAGAAACAGGGAGCAAAGTTAGACATGCCTGAAAACATCTGCAACATGCAGATAATTACCGGGATGTGTTGGAAAGGACAGGAGAATGAAGAAGAGAGTATTTTCTCCAGGGGACCCAAT